CTGCCTCCCGGGTTCAAGTGATTCTCTTGCCTCAGCCTATGGAGTAGGTAGGATTACAGGTGCACACCACCATACCCGGCTAATTTTTTTGTATTATTAGGAGAAATGGGGTTTCACCATGTTAGCCAGGCTGGTCTCAAACTCCTGACCTCAGGCGATCTGCCTACCTTGGCCTCACAAAGTGCTGGGATTACAGGCATGAGCCACTGTGCCCGGCCACATTTTTAATTTAATTTAATCTAATTTAATTTTTTATTTAAAAAAAAAGAAAAAGAAAAAAAAGAAAGAAAGAAAAAAAGAATAATAATAAAAAAGAATGAAGGAGAGGAAGAAAGAGGAAGAGGGAGAGAGAACGGGGGTGTTGCTTTATTGCCCGGGCTAGAATGCAGTCTAAAAACGGGTATGCCTATAATTGTGTTTAATAATGGAGACATGAAAAACAATGAGGGAAGAAAATAACAAACAAGCAGCCAACCAATATTTCATTTAAACCTGTAAGTAGGTGTGATGTGGTACTGATAAGAGTGTGTATTTTGTGCATTTAAAGTGGAGAGTTCTATAAATGTTTGTTTACTTGTTCCAGATCTGAGTTCAAGTGCTGGATATCGTTGTTAATCTTCTGTCTCATTGATCTGTCTAACATTGATGTTGAAGTCTCCCACCATTATTGTGTGGGAGTCTCACATTTTTTTTAAGTTAAAACCAAACAAGCAGAAAACCTAACTCTTACACAAACAGAGCTCAAGGCTGGGGAAAGGAACTTTAAGGTACTTTTCAGAAGCCAAGTCAGTCTTCTGCTGCATTGTGGTACTATAGAGTCTCAGTGTTGAATATGTATTTGAAAATATGTTTTTTAAAGAAAACTGTAAATACTTATAGAGTGATGTTAATAGTTCAGTAGATGAAATGTTTCCTATTTGATCATAACTAACTCCAGGGTCTAAAATATAGGGAGAGACGCCTAGTTTGTTAAGGAGATGCCATATTTGGCATGGAATGTGAAACTACGGCCCTTGGTACTAGTCATCACCAATGATGTTACATCTCTAATGTGTGAATGAGGAAAACACAACCTTTGTCACACCTTTGGCACCCATCCAGAATTTCATTCAGTGCCAGAGACAAGGGCTTGGGAGAAGAGCTCCTCTTTCTGATCATGCCAACTCTCTTCAGGAGCCCTGAAGTGGGACCACATGGCTGTACATGTAGCTCACAGAGCTTGGTGGGTTTCCAGAAAGAATTTTGCCATGCTGATTCTAGAACAGTGTTATCCAGCCTTTTAAAACTCAAAACTCCTATAATGCTTTCTCATTCAGTCTTCTAGAGAAGCCAAGCCAGCCATAAATATATTATTCAGCTGTGAATTCTATTGCAAAGGCACCAGGAATATTAAACATGTTTTATCAAACTGCTTATGACCTCTTACACAGACCTTTTAGAAACTCTGATGAGTTGAGATGGTTCCCTTAACAGGGGTAAACCCATAGTCCAGTGTGCCTTGGACATTCCCAGTTTACTCTTGTTGTTCTGATGTAAATATTACTGCCGTGTGTTCCTTGCACTGTCATATGTGTCTCAGTTTGAATGACGAGGTATATGGTCACCTTATCTTTACCCTGGATCCTTCTCTCCCACCAGTTGAGAATAACTTATTCAGGGTTATTGAATGGTGGAGGATCTTTCAAAATCAACAGCTAGAAGGTAGAGAACCCTTCATGACATACTAAGAAGTTTCACACTAAGCAAAGGAGAGTGACAAGGTATTTCAATAGTTGAATGATGTGAGTAAATGTTTGCTTCAAAAAAGTGTATTGTAATAATCCAGATGAGAAGAAATGGGTATGCTAACAATGACCTTTGAAGAATTATACCTTTGTATCTGGGAAGTCTTGAGCTCAAATGAGAGAGAACTCTTACTATGAGTGAATTGCAATTAGAGTCCTATCACCTCTACTCAAATCTCTCAAACGTAAAGCATTGGAGTAACCTTTCCTTGCTTCTCATCTTTCAATAAGACTTGTGTGTGCTATTAACAAAATACCACAGCATCCCAGAGCAGGATGGCTTTCAGTGATGAATCAATTGATTCCCACATGCTAGTGTATAAATTGTTAACTGCTTCAGGATTCATAGAAATGAAAGATGCTTTATTTATTGTCCTTTGAGATGAAAAATGCATAATTTATAGCACTAGGATTACTATTTTATTTACTCTTGTGATGCTGAAATCACGTTCTTTTTTAGTGATGGAATTGGAGAATCTCTGTTAATTCATGGGCAAGTGGCTTATTAAAAGCTTCAGAGTTGAAGGGTCTGGCTACACAGAAGTGGGTCCCATCTGAAGGAAGTTGTGTGATCCTTTTGTTAACACAAAGACTTTATTTTTCTGCTCACAGGCGCTAGTGAGATGTTAAACATGTGTGCGTGATGTAAAGATGTTGGCTCTGATATATGTTCATGTAGGCTTAAGGTTGAGAATGACATAATTGGGTACATTCTGTAAAAGTATCTTAAAATCTCACAGTTGAAGACTTCACAGAGTTTTCTCTTCCAGTGGGCCCGGGGCGTTTGTATGGCATTCTTCTGTGTTCCTAGGCAATCACATGATTTCCAGTATCCAAAAATATCCACAACTTTGTGTTCAGGAAAATGTCCAGCATCCTTTGTTGATAGATCTTTAGCATTTCATTGCCTGAAAATCTCTTTGTAGCTTTACCAAAAAGCCTACTTCAGTGTGTGTGTTTTCTTACTTTTAGCTAAAAGCTGTGGCTCACTTCTTGGCAGCAAGGTTTTGAACAATTTTCTTTTAATAAAGAAAATATTTGCCCTGTGTCATTCTGCTTCAGAGGGCCTATGGGAAGCCATGGTTTTGTCTGTGGAGTAGGGTGAGACAAGAATGTTGGATAGTTGTTTTTACCTGGTATTTCCACCAATACACTCTACCTTTGGTGGAACCAATATCATCTCAACATTTTCGGGATCACAGTAGTGAAATGTGTGGAACTACGAGAGCAGGGTCAGGCTAGCCAGTAGCTTCTTTTTCCTTCTTTTCCCTGATGGAAAAGTGCTTTACCTTAGACTGACAGCCAAATAGCAATACAGGTTGAGTATTCCTTATCCAAAATGCTTGTGATCAAAAGTGTTTTGAATTTCTGTTCTTTTTTTCTTTTCTCCAATTTTGAAATATTTGAAAATACATAGTGAAATATCTTGGGTATGGGACTGAAATCCAAACATGAAATTCATCTATGTTTCTTATATATCTTATGCACATAAGCTAGGGTAATTTTACACAATATTTTAATTAATCTTGCATATGCAACAAAGTTTGTAGATGAGGTCAGGTGTGGAATTTTCTACCTGTGGAGTTGAATCAGTGCTGAAAGAGTTTCGGAGTTCAGAGAATTTCATATTTTAGATTTGCAGATGAGGAATGCTTAGCTTGTATCAGGAAAGGAAAGGGAGCTATAGACAGAGGGCCGCAAACTCTGTGGAGTAATGTTGTATAAAGAATCAAGCAAGAACTGTACATAATACTCAGGAAAACAAATAGGTCTCAAAATGATGTTTCCAATTTGGTTGCATGATTCTACTTTATTGGGTCATAAAAACCAGTCCGTTTGACATTTCTAAGAATGCTCTTTTGGAAACAGAGCATTTCTAGAGAAGGTGTTTCTAGAAACAGCAGTTACTCTGCCTTCCATCCCCAAAACAGGGAAGTGTGACTTAAAAAAAAAAATTCTAACGGACACTAGAGGCAAACGAAGGAAAGCAAAAGTATAACTAATAACTTTCTTTATGTGTATGGAAAACCATGGCTTAAGGAGGTCTGGCAACTATGTCTTCACTGAGGACAGAAATGGACTTCAACTAAATTGAGGGATTAGAAGTAAGTTTAAGAAAGTTCTTTGACTCTGACTCAGTCCACTCCTGATGCTCGGTTTTATAGAGCTTGTTTCTCTGAATGTCTGTTGCTTTTGTTGCCGTCATCATTGTACTTCTCGTTCTTTCAGCAAAGGACAAACCTCTACCTATCTGTAATGACTTGAATAATGTATGATATTTGGTATACAAACATGTTCCTTTGCAAAAAAGGAATTCAGCCTATAATTCCCCCAGGTCACTTGGCTGGTACCAGGACAAGAACTTCAGTTCCGAAGTACCAGTATTGAAGTATTTTTTGTGCAGCAGACTCTGGGGTGGTTCACATAAGCAGGAGATCAAGCTAAATAATTCTGGAAGCTTCTTCCTACTTTGGATATTTAAACCTAAAAAAGGATTTTACCTTTGCAGAACTTGAAATCATATTTATTAAATCAAAATGTAAGTTATCTATTTCTTCAAAATGTGTAAGAAATAAGTTTTTTACTTTCATTTTTCTTTGAGGGTTTAAAGAAAATTACTTAGTATATCAGTAAGGGTTTCCCAGGGAGAAAAAACCAACAGGATAGATACAGATCAATAGAGAGAGAGATAAGAGGGGATTTATTTGGAGAATTGGCTCAGGTGATTATGGAAAGCGATAAGTCCCATGGGACAGGCTACCTGCAAGCCGGAAACCCTGGGATGCCATTAGAGTGGCTCAGTCCAAGTCTGAAAGCCTCCGAACCAGGGAAGTCAATGGCGTAAGTCAATGGTTCAAGAATCAGGGATGGGGATGGGGGGTGGGAGGGAGGGCGAGGAGTCACTGGTGCAAGTCCTGGAATCCAAAGACCAGGGAACCTGGAGTTATGATGTCCAAGGGCAGAAGGGCATCTCACTTCAGTAGAGAGAGTGAGCAAATTCACCTTTCCTTTGCTTTTTTGTTCTGTCTGGACCCTCAGCCAGTGGAATGGTACCTGTTCACATTGGGGATGGATCTTCCTTACCCAGTCTGCTGACTCAAATGCCAATCTTGTACAGAAATACTCTTGCAGGCACACACAAAAATAATGCTTTACCAGCTAACTGGATATCCCTTAATCCAGTCAACTTGCTACCTAAAATCAACCATCATACATAATATATATATATATATATATATATTTTTTTTTTACTTCTTGTGTATTTGTGTTTGCCTTATAAATGTGCAAAATGTGCCTCTGGAGTATAAAGTGAAAGCGTGTGCTTGTTGCTTTGGAAACATTTTATGGCTCTTGAGAAGAGCACCTTGTCATTGCCAGATCAATAGAGTTGCTTTAAATATAGCCATATATTATTAAAATCGTGACAGATATCTTTGTGTTTTATCACTTGTGATGAATGTTTCATTTCACTGGGATTGATTCTATTTCTGAAAATTAAGTGCTCACCCAAGAAAGGCACATGGCATCTTTTCTTGAGAAAACAAATTATTCCGTAAGAGAGGAGATCTGCCTAGTCCTGTTTTCCCAAAGACCTAATAGTTATCTCAGTAATGAATAACAATGTTCTAGTTCTTTTCCTTTTCTTGTAAAAAATATCTACAGGGTGTAAGAAATACTTACCTTCTTCCTCATACTCTGCTTGTCTTAAGGGCTTGGCTTTGGAATGACAGAATGCTAGAACATTAGAACTAGAAGGGATTTTAAGGGACATTAGAACTAGAAGGGACTTAGCCTAGTTCCTTCATTTTACAGATAAGAAATACAAGGCTCAGAGAAATAAAGTGGCTTGTCTAAGGTCAGGTATCATGGAAGTAAGAAAACCTGAAACTTGTTTCTGGTTTATTACATTACCATCTTTTATTATAAAGGGTTTTATTTTTTATAAGAACATGTTTTACTTGTCCTAGAGAGCAGAAATTATTGTTGCCGTTAAGCTTAAGCAAAGCGGAGACACTAAGGTCAAGCGATTCAAAGTGATGGTCAACAGATACTCAGTCACAAAACCTGTAATTGTAATGTATATACAAGGAGAGAAACCTGCATGTAAATTATTAGATACATTTGGGCTACAAGTGTGAGTATTTAGGACCAGTACAGATTGAGAAAATTAATTGTTGTATTCTCCCCTACATTGTGCCTTCAGCCCTAAAGCCATATTGAAAATTGAACCTGAGCTATTAATAAATAAACCCTAAATGAAATTGAAATAGAGGTGGGTCCACATGCTCTGGCTTGTCTATAGCATGATCTCCCAAGGTCCTGATCATCACCTACAATAGCAAATAAAATATTATCCCTTATTTTTGGCGAACCGTCCACCCACTTTTTGCTGTAACTTTGCAGCATTCACTTGGCTGCTCTGACAAAACAAGAGAGAAACAAGCATAAGATCTGCTCCTTTGCAACAATTGTTCTTCTAGCTCCATACAGCCATTATAAACAAGGAGCAGGGGCGAAGGAAACCATTAGTTGGAAAAGGAATCACTTGTGATGGTCAGACCTAAGAATGTACAAATTGCTTGGTGTTTCTTTTGAACATAAAGCTATTCCCTGACGTGACTGCCCTGTCTGGCTCTGCGTCTGCAATAACTCCCTTAGGATGACCTCTGTTTGCCATGCAGAGGTCTGCAGTGTTACATCAGCTGCAGCAGAAGCCCCCTGGCAGGCAGAAATAGATCAAGAATGTTCTCGTGCAAGTGGGTTTTCCCACTCATTCAGCTGCTAAACTTCGTGATTATGCTGTCATTTCTACTTTCCATTAATGAATGTGTATTAGTGGCATAAGGCCGAAGTTGGAATTGGGATAGATGCATAATTTTAGTTAATTACTTATCACTAATATTTTTTGAGTTGTCTACAATAAACTGGCATTTTACACACACACACACACACACACACACACACACACAC